ATCCGGGATAAGGCGACTCAAGGGGGGGACAGGGGTCATAGTTGTCGTCCCCCCAAACACACACACAACCCAAACGACATGAAAACTGAGATGCTAAGCATTCCTCCATCCTTTACCCCCCACCAGCCTCTCAGCCCTCCTTCCCTCTTCTCACAAAGCCTGCTTCACCACAGCCTGGCCTAACCTTTTATTCTCAGTCATTTAATGAGTTGGTGTCACTCTAGCCACCCTGTAATTGTACACTTGCTGAAAACTGTCATAAAACTTTTTTTTTTGTTACGCTATCAAATGGCACTAAAACTACAACCATCTCCAATCCTAACACCATATAGGGCACAGGCTTGCAATGGTTTGCAAGAAAGCTGTTGCAATATGAGAACATTTGTTCTTTAAACCTTATCCTTTTTGCTGTTGGGGTTTTCAATGTGTGAAGACAAAGTTCAATCCACTGTCTGGCTGTATTTTTTTTGAATTTCTCAGCCTGTTCCTTTACTTCTTTCCCCCGTCTGACTTTACTGTCAATCATAAGACTTGGCCAATGTTTGTTCTGGGTTACACAGAAGCAGTTGCAGGGCTAAATGAGTGGCTGCCAGCTATCTACAGTCAATGCCAGACCTCTCAACCGCTGAGGAACTAGCTGAATCCAATGCTGTTCCATCAAAGCACAAAAACATGGTTGAGATAGAGGCGGTAGCGAGTGGCCGTTTCTTCCTTGGAACTACGTGACTTTTGGTCCTGTTTAGCTTGGCCCACGGGTAGCTATAGCGTGCCCTACTATATCTGCTTAGTCCATTAGAGGGGACTGACGGAGGGAAGGAGGAGGGACAGACATGGGAGGGATACGGAGATAGAGGGGCCTGCTCAGAATTGGAACTGCATGAGGAAAAGCTATTCCCCACAACTGAGATACGACAAAATGAACACATTCACACACATCCTCGTACACATACTCTTTCAAATAGTCACATCCTATAGAAAAAACACTATGGTTTTCTATTATATGGTTACAGCACTTAGGAGTGGAGGCCCGTGCATTTGAGGCTTTGAGGCTTGCGCACAGCAGAAGGAGATTATGGGGGTGCAATGCCAGATATAATGTGGCTGAGACTGCATGGAGCCCTCCGGGTCTGACCTGCCTGTCAATGTGGTCGCACAGAGATGATGTCACTGCTCGCTTGCACATGTGTTGTGCAGCCGTACAAAGACATGGATGTACAAAACCCCATTCAAGCAGACAATACAAGTTCAAACTGATTTGTAGTTTATAACTTTTTATTGAAATGAAGTTAGAGATACACACATTCATGTAAACTTTAACATCATCTATCATTATAAGCAGAATGTTATGAAGAGTGCCACTAGAGGGAGTGAATCAGGTGGCTGTCTTTTCAACTTCCCTTCTCTTCTGCCAGTTTCCTTTCAGCACAAGCTATATTTGAGGCATTGCTCTATCCATTCATCATCAGTTAGTGTTTTCCAATGTAAGCATAAGAGTATTACAGCACACGTCAAAAGGGAGATGATGTCATGCACCGACTGCTTAATGACAGATTGCTGCCGTGCGATGTGTTCATCAATATAACCTCTCACTGACACTCAACTGAAGCAATGAGGGAAAGAAGATTTAAAGAGACACACATGTCCCTCCTTTCAATACACCCTTTCTTTCTTTTTGAATCAGCTCATTGGTCCCTAATGACAATAAGGCAGTCGAGACAAAGCCATAATCACTCGTCAAAATGTAACTTGTCCAAATCCACTTTTTCCTGCAATCTTTGTCCTCCTGTTGTTCTCAATGGTTGCAATATGATACTGTATAGGGTATTCATTTTGTCACAGCAGGGTCTCCAAAGGCAGCAATAAGTCTTTCTTAACATCATTACCCCCCTAATTATCTCTGAAGCTTTTCCTTTTTCAACTTTTTTCTTTTCCTCCTGTGCTTATTTCAGAAAGACAGTCACATAGACTCAAACACACACAACTACTCTGACACCCAGCAAAAAACAACAAAAGAGAGGTGTTACGTGCTCAGGCTCAGCTCAGCTTCCCTCTTTGCATAGGAGTTCAGCAACTGTCCGCTGCAGCCGTCTGGACCAGATGTAGAGGTCAGCGACCAGAGGGGCCAGCCTCAGTGTCCCTCTCTCTGTCCCAGTGGACCTATAGACTTTATTAATCCCTTCTCCTTGGAGGGCTCATAAACTACCGCAGAAGGTCAGGGTCAGGAGAAGGACTTGTGGAAAGGATGATTGGAGGAAGATTAATAATATATAAAATAATGTTTTTCATTTGCTTTTATATTCTGCTCATATATAAAGAATTTAAATATTCTTTCAGGAGTCTTGTACATTTAGAACCTTAACAACAAAATAGTTTTCACTCAATATTGCCAATGCATGTGAATAATGAGGTACTCGTGCAAACATACATGGTTGTTTTTGCACTACAGACTTGAGAATACTTGAATGAAATAATTACATTTATCTGGAAGATGAGAAAATATTTCAGCTTTTGTATGTGTGTCACAATATATAGTAACTAATTCAGTGAATGTTCTTTGACTGCAGAGTGCAACCTTACTCTGATGCTTTATTAGAAAACATCCTCTTGATCTCTTTGGAGTAGAACTCAGTTTTTCCATCAACCTGCAGGAAGGGAAGTGTATGGTCCTTTGTGTGTATGAGTGTGCTACGCTTTAACTCAACGTATGTGCAGTCAGACACTGCAGCCGACACCAGGCTGGCTTTCCCTCTAGAGGTGAAAGACATTCCTAAAGTTAACTGTCCAGACCGTACATGCACTAGGGGAGTGATTGTCTGTCTGAATGTGGCTGGCCAGCAAAGGCCAAAACGTAGAGATGTCCCGATCCGATCACGTGATCGGGGATCGGAGCCGATCACGTGATTTTCAAAAAATCGGAATCGGGAGAAAAAAAATCGGGGATCGGGATTTTCTTTTTTCTTTTTTTTTTTTTAAATACTTTTTTTTACATTTTGTATTCAATGCTACAAAACAAAAATGACCATGTTCAAGTCTTAAAGTCATCCTGAGGCCTTAGTTTTGGTTTCAAATGACAGAACATCATGTATGTGTTGCTTCTTTGGGGCTTGTTTTCATAGACCTGGTTGCTTATTTCTCTCAAATCTGGCAACAGAGTGGGCGCAGTGTCTAATTGTAGCAGTAAGCTAACGAGTACTGAAAGCTTTATTTTGTTTTGATCCAATGCTGCACAACTGAACTGATCCAATGCTGCTGTGAAAGAAAGAAGCTATATCCATGTTGGATAGAATATCCAATTTAAATAAGAAAAAATAACCTTAAGGGACAACTTGAATGCTTTTTTTTTTCTTAATGCATTGCATAAAGATCGGATCGGGAAAAATCGGTATCGGCAAATTGTCAAAATCAAATGATCGGAATCGGATCGGGAGCAAAAAAAGGTGATCGGGACACCCCTAGCCAAAAGCCTCCATTTATAACTAACCTCCTGTCTGCTACTGGCCCTTTGCCTGCATCACACATCCATAGTGTTGATCATGTGCACCAAACATGAGCTTATCTAAGCAGGACTCTTTCACATTCCAGAGGGTTTAGGTGTTCAGTGTTGAAGATTGTTAAAGCAGCATCCCTCTGGACTCCAACTGTGATGAATGAGTTTTGTTAGGGCTTGATGGTCCTCCACATTGCAGGATGTTTTCAAGAGTTACACGCTCAATAAATCTTTCCTTGTAAATGGGAGAGGAACATGCATAAACAATTGGTCTGATTTTGAGCACAATGTAAATATTTGTAGACCTCATCAAGGGGTAAAATGAGCCTCTATCTCGTGAGAGTTGGGAGCGGCCATACAGGTTCAATTTGTATTTCCAGAATTATATTACAGTGAGCTAAAGTATGTGTGTCAAACCTGGGTCAAATACCATTTTCAAATAATTATTGGTGTTTGTTTTAACTTGCTGGAAGTACCAGATGGTGGGTCAGCTGCAGGATAATGTTCACAGTGTCAAGTGAGTTTTAGATAGCCCTTTAAACTCTTGCGAATGCCTTTCTTGCAGTCAATTTGCCAACTGATGAGGCAAATCCACACTTCTCACACACCAGGAACATAAAGAACGTCTTGCAAAAGAGTTTGACCCTAGATTGATGCATGCCTTTGTGGATACTTACAGCATGTGAATCTGTTCATGATTAGGACCAGCCTATGACTGATAAGATTGATATAGCATTAGCATGAGGAGGAGATTATATTTATGGATTTGTGCAAGATTTAGAGTTTGGGGAACATAGAGGCTAAGCTTACAGTCTTAAATGACTGCTTTTACCCATACAGGCTCTTGTGAAGCAGCCATATACTTAAGTTCCCATGCATTCCATGTATTTTTTAAGTATGTCTGTGTTTTTGTGTGTGTGTGTTTAAGGATATTATGCAAACATCAAATCTAAATATTACTAAGGATCTTGATGTCCATTTCAGTGTCTTTAATGTGTTTTCCCTTTGGATTTCAGTTTATGACCACTCTGGACACTTTAAAATGTTTTCATCCAGTGAATAAAATGTGTTATCCTTCAGATACATATAGTTTATGACTCTGTCCTCAATGTGGTCCAAGCAAATGTGGATCCTGGACAGATTTAGCCTTCCATTTATGTGCTCTTTCAAATATTCCCAATCCTGCTGAAGAGTTCTTTCCAAACTCTTATTTATATCCATATATATATCATTTTCATTTGTAAAAAAGCTCAAATACATCACACAGTGTCTTTTATAGGTTGTGGATTATTTAAGTGTTAGCATATTGTTATTCAAGGATTACAAATACATACTAAACAAAAATAACAATTTGTTTTCATTTTGTGCTAAGGGAGCAAGATCATTTTCAAAATGTATTTAAATAGAGGATAAGGAAAGTAGTTCCTTTCTCAATTTACACATCATAAAATATATCTGTACTAATATTTTCTTTAAAGTGTTTTTTTCTTTCTCTCTTGTTTCCGTCTTACAGGTGTAGCAGAGCCCAGCCATGACGATAACCAGTAAAGGGTCAAGACGGAGGGTTTGGGTCAGCGGACCTTGTTTGTGTTCCTGGCGAGGAACGCAAGTCTTTTATTTATGCATGGTCCTTGTTCTTGTTCAGTCTACAACTGTCTTCGGAGCACTGGAGCTCCAGCTGGATGAAGAGCAGCCGGCAGGGACCATCGTTGGTGATATCAGCGCTGGGTTACCACCTGGTGAAATCGGAGGTCTTTACTTCATCTCGGACCATGAGAGCACAGGCGTCAGCAATGATCTCAACATCGATGAAAACACAGGCATCATTACCACTGCACAACGTCTGGATCGTGAGCAGAGAGACCACTATAGCTTCATCGCTGTCACAATGACAGGAGTCACTATTGAGGTGTCGATCACCGTTAACGACATCAACGACCATGCACCTGTGTTCCCCAAAAAGAAAGCCGTTCTTAAAATTCCCGAGCACACAGCAGTTGGCACAAGGTTTTCCCTGGAGCCTGCAACAGATGCGGATAAGGACCAGCTGACCACTCAAGGCTACGCTATACGAGAGGGTAATGTAGGCCAAGCCTTTAGACTGGAGACCAAGAGAGCTGCTAACAAGGTGTTGTATCTGGATCTCGTAGTCAATGGTCTTCTGGACAGGGAGAAGCGCTCATTATACACCTTGGTCGTTGAGGCCTTTGATGGGGGCTCAACAAAAAGGATGGGATCCATGACCCTAGACGTCACTGTGACGGACATCAACGATCACGCGCCACTCTTCAATCAGAGCAGATACCATGCTATTATCTCGGAAAGTCTCCCACAAGGCAGCAGCATCCTACAGGTTAGCTCAAGTCTTATCAGGGTTTAGACAGTGATTTGTTACTTCAATAACAGTTCCTGCGCCCGTAAATCCAAATGTTTCAGGGTATTTTCTAATTTCAGTTTCTTATCTTTCCAGGTGTTTGCAACAGATGAGGACGAAGGTGATAATGGTCTTGTCCTTTATGAAATCAACCGGCGTCAGAGTGACCCTGATCGCTCCTTTGTCATGGATATCAAGTCAGGGGTCATCACTTTGAATAGGCCCCTGGATTATGAACTGAAGAGGGTTCATGAACTGGTGGTCCAGGCCAGGGATAACGCCAGCCAACCTGAGGTAATTGCATTATGGGTATTCCTAAGATTCCTAAAAGAAAATAATTAACCGTATTTGTCCTCTACAATAATGCAAAGTAGATTCATTTCAGTACTCACTAACATGAATCATGTGCATTTTCTCAGGTTACCAATGCATTTGTGACCATTCATGTCCGTGACTTCAATGACAACCAGCCAACCATGACCATCATCTTTCTGAGTGAGGACGGCTCACCAAGGATCTCTGAAGGGGCCCAACCAGGCCAGTACGTAGCTCGGATTTCTGTCACAGACCCCGACTATGGAGAGTACGCTAATGTGAATGTATCTCTTGAGGGGGGTGATGGGAAGTTTGCCCTCACAACCAAGGACAGCATCATCTACCTGATATATGTTGACCAGGTCTTGGACAGAGAGGAACGGGATTCGTATGACCTGAGGGTTATGGCCACAGACTCCGGCACGCCTCCCCTCAGAGCAGAGTCATCTTTCACAATTCAGGTGATTGATGTGAATGACAACCCCCCTCTGTTTGACCAGCAGGCCTACAGACAGACTATCCCTGAGGTTGTCTATCCTGGCTCCTTTGTTCTCCAAGTTACTGCCAGGGACAAGGACCAGGGCCCCAATGGGGACGTACGATATAGCCTCCTCAAGGGCAAAAACTCTCACTCTGATTGGTTTTCCATTGACCCGGTCACAGGGATCATTACCACAGCGACAGCCCTAGATTTCGAATCAGAGCCAGCACCTAGCGTAACTGTGGTAGCAATGGATGGAGGCCGCCCGCCATTGTCTTCCACAGCCAAGGTGGACATTGTGCTCCAGGATGTTAACGATAACACACCTGTGTTCTCCAGCAACTTCTACAATGCCTCCATAAAGGAGAACACGCCAGCTGGGACCTGTTTCTTGGAGGTAAGAGAAACCATAAATACGTTTTTTTATCATTCCTTCGTTCGCTCTCATTCTTCTTCTAAAAAAATCTCTTTTACTCTTCTTTATTTTGAAGGAAACCTGGCATTTATAATTCTCATGAGGCGCACCGTGTTGGCCACAACACTGTTGTCCTACTTATGCAGCCAAAACCAAGTATTCTCTGTCTCCCCTGTACTCTCATCTCTTTATTCACTCTTTTCTCTCACACACTCCCCTTAAGCTCTCTCTGATTACTCCCCTGGCAACAGCCTGATTTATACATCAATATAAAAGAGTATTGAAGTCAACGTTTTGTCTGAACTGAACATCTGTCTCAAAGTCCTCTTTCAGGAAAGATTGGTGCACTTGGAAGCATGTGATTCATAAAAACTAGGGTATGAGATGAGTAGCCAAGCCATTCAACATGTTCATTTAGGGTTAAAAAGATGTGTAAAGGTACTAGAAAGAAGAAACAGAGAAAAGGAGGCAGTCTATACCTGCATTCCTGAGGAGATTTACTCTGTGCACGTATGTCCTCTCTCTCACCTCATACGGTTGCCGTGGTAACCAAGCCATCAGCGTAGAGTGAGCCCTTGGTATCTCGCGGCAGCTCGGCTGTATTGCTTTTATCTTGATTCCAGCAGCTCTAATATATAAGGAGGACCTCTCTTGAGAAATGAAAAAGGATGACTGGCTGTTTGTCTTCCAGCTAGGTCTTAACTTGGTATCATGCACCGTTTAGACCAACTGTTTTTACGGGTTGGCTAAACCCCTCTGCCGTGACGCGGCTGAGAGGAAAAATAAAAATGTCTGTTTCGTAGCATTTTCAAGAAAGACTGCTGCCTGAACATAACAGTGCAATGGCTCTAATAAATGTCTTTAAACCCCCAATCATACCAACTGGAATTAGATAAATAATGGTGGTTGAATTTCACATTCTTGCAAGTTCATTAAGCATGTATTTGGAAAGGATGGCTGGTATTCAGTGGAAATTGGCATATGGGCTTACTCCTTAGGGAGGATTGGAGATGAGGGAAATAAAAAATGTAATCAAGAGGAATGAAGATGATTTTAAATAAGATTATGAGAGGTGGAATGACCTTTGAAAGGAAAGCGGAAAGAAAAAAAGGGATGTGGTTAAAAACGGCGAGGTGTCTTTACCACCACTGATTGTCCATTGCTGAATTATTGAACCCTTTAAATTGGTCATAATGAGGCTCTGTTGAATTATTATGCCCCTCAATCAAGAACCCCATAATGTCAATTCCAGCTGTTGCCACCGTTGTTATAATCAACATTTTCTAATCCTAGCCAGCAGTGATTCTGGCAGTAGGTACATGCGTAATCCCATGCAACACGCTACGGGTGATTCTGATGCCAGAGTGAGTGAATACGGCTTGAATAGCTCATTCCGGCACGTTCCTCAAGGCTCGTTTAAACAGAGCCAAGATTCCCTGGACAAGAGTCTCCCACAGGGCCTGCCATTTACAGGATAATGGTATTTGGAGTAAACTTTTTTCCTGGGCTAATGGAATATATTGCCATTCAGATAGGACACACACACTTATGCTAGACCTTTTCGTTTCAGTTTTGTTCTGTATTTTCTCCATTTGCCTGCCAACCAACTGTCGAGATTGTGGAGCATTTGGAATTTTATTCTGTCAAGATAGTGACAAAGTGAAGAATTGGGTCCGCTGGTCTAGTAAGCCTAGTTTACATTTTTCGGTGACGTTATTTGGCAGCTGCATTCAGGTTGTGAAGTTTCATCACGTTCCTTAAAGAGTCAAGTTGAAGGCACAATGTTCTCAGAATTGTGCTAATATTTACAATAGATAACAATCACATTATACTCTTTTGGCTGGCTCGGTAAGACTTTTGGACACTTTGTGTAAAAATTGTGGAAACTCAGCAAATGTTTCATATCCAAACAAGGAAATATGTTATCAGATGATGTTTTTGAATAACTGGGACACACATAGTAGTTTTTCAATCCTTACGCTCTGTCTCTGTTGTTCTTCTTTATTTTCTCTGTTTCTCTTTATCTTTCTTAATATCTTTTTCATGATGTGTAATTTTATTTCACTCCACTCACGCATACACACATTTATACATGCATCAACAGTTTCAGGAAGTTTCTTATCAGTTGGGCTACTATAGTAATCTGTAATGTGCTGCACTGTTTATACAGTCGCGACACAAAGGAGTTATTTATTTTTTGGTTTGCCTGCTTTCCTCTTCCCCCACTTCCTTAAAGTATTTCCCAGGCAGGAGATGTTAGGCTGCTTCACTCAGTTTATATATGTGTGTGTGTTTGTGTGTGTGCCGGCATGCACATTCATCTTATTTGGGTTCATATCCTGAGAAGGTAAGGGTCATGAGAACAGCGCAAATTGCGGCTGATGATGATAAGTGACAAGCATAATTTAGAATGAAGCATTTCCATTGTTTAAAAACTCTTATTTGCATGCAAACATAGCTGAAATAATCTGATCTGTGTATGGACTGATTGAATCAGGTATTTTTCTTGGATAAAATCTGAGTTTTTCAGAGACTAAGCGTATTTCCTTCCTGTGTGGGTTGTACCTTGCAGTTTTTGTCAAATCTAAGGACATGCTCACTTCCAGCATGACCTGACCGCTGGGAAGCCACTGTTGATCTCACAAGAAGCTCTTGCCCAGCCACAAATGTAGAACCAACAGACAACAGACACATTGATGTCTTCTAGAAGACACATTATATAATGAAATAAAAATACAAGTGGAATAATAGCACAAATTAAATAAAACAATGCAAACAAAATGGACAATGACATTTTAAAGATAGCTGAGAACAAGACAGCAAAACGGAAGCAAAAGATGACCGTGTGTGTGTTATGTACGTACATGTGCATGTCTCTGTATGTCATATACGTATGTGTACACTATTGAAGCCAAGAACTATCTTTCAGCAGGTGATGCATCTCCCCTGTGATGTCAGCATGTGGTTTCTTGATCAAGCCTGTTATACAACACTCAATCATCTGAACAGATGTACAGATGTTCTCAAATGGGAGATGTCCAAAAATGTAGAGAATAGCTTTCTGGCATTACCGTCTAAGAGTCGTGGTAGTGCACTGTCTCTAGTAGAATACATTTTTCATTTCATTTCATTTCAAACCTTTATTTAGTCAGATTGGTCCCATTGAGATCATCGATCTCTTTTTCAAGGGAGACCTGACTTTGACACCACACTTTAAAAATAAAAATAAATACATCAGAAAACATAACAAATAACTGAGTGTTATACATGTTTTGTTATTATTATTTTCATGCCCCATACAGTCCAAGATGGTGGACAGTATATGAAAGACACACTCATAATTATTCTATGTGTACACCTTTGCTTGCACTAGGGATACAATTGTGAAGGTGGCAATAGCAGAAAGGAGCCATAAACTCAGAGAGACTGTCCCCAAAGGAACATGAATGCGCCCCAGAATACATTATAAAAAAAGCTTGCAAGCAAATCTGACATTCTGACTTGAGACTTGCAAAAGTGGTTTGAGGAGTATGGAAAATGGAAATTACAAATCCTTAAGAGAGCATCAATGTGCTCACTGAATAAAATTACAATATTCCCATTACAATTAGAGACGTCCATATATAGACAATGAATCTCCACAGCTCATTTTGCACCAAGCATCTGGTCAAGGGAAATGTAAAGCTGATGGTAGGGATTTAATCTCACCAATCAAATGTGCTGATACTGTATCTCCCTATGGACTACATATTTTGACCGACAGTCTACACACAAGAACATGTGAGGGTGGTGTTAAGGTGACTCAAATAGAGCAAAAACATCGGAAAGGAGACTGGTTTCTTTTGACAGGTGGAATTAGTCTGCCTGTACTTCCCTCAAAATCCAAATAAACACAGCGGGTCTGCCTGTTAAAGCAATCAGCCCCTTTTGGTGTGAAGTCCAAAGTTTGAAAACATGTGCCTGAAGTCTATATAGTTCTATAAAAAAAGTCTAATCATATTTATAGCATACACACATGCCTGCACACTGAGACTAATCACATTTGATGAGACATTGTGATTAATTGAAAACAGGAAGCTGTTCTGCTTGAGCTTCTTGTAACACCGTTCCAGTCTCCTGCTGGTGTCGCACTGAAACCAGAGCCAGAACGAAACCACAGCTTCTGCTTGGAGCTTGCGCACTCTCCTGCAGCCTAAACACACACTCCAGTTTTTATTAAGCTTGAAAATGTGGGGAAAATATGTAATTTATTGTCTGTTTGATGTCTTCCCTCAATGCTTGTTCTCGAACAGTGGCAGCTGTGCTTTAATAAGGCCCCGCTCTGTTGAAACTTTATCTTGTGTGTTTTAATTAATCTGTCAGTGTGTTTTGAAATGGGAGGATCAATAGATGAGTGAAGAAAGACTGCAGGTCGAAGCGATCACTTGTCACCACATGTCTCGGTTGCATCTAACAGGTGATCAGCCTTGACTAATGTTTGGGTTTTCACACTAACGGACATCAGCGAGATAAAAAATGTAGTGAATCGTTTCATGCTGTTAACAGCTGGACCCTGTTCTGTTACGCCTACTTTCTCTCCGGTTCTGTGTTTCTATCTCTTCTCCCACCGACTCACATATCTCTCAGCTGTCAGCCATGTTGACAGGATGTGTGTGATGATGGTGTCTCTGCAATGCTAACTATTCTCATAACATCCATCATCACTTACTGTGAGCTCATCACCTGTTGTCTGCTGGAAGCTCAGATATCGCTAATAAAATCCATCTTGGTTTTACACAGATGCCTTAAAACAGCTACATAACAAAGTGGGCTTAATTTATTTATATCATAGTGATAATGTTTTTCTTCAAAGAAATACATTAAAAGCTGTAAAGATGGCAACGCTGGTCTGGTCTATCAATCAGCTACGTAGTTTGTGCCATTTTGATACAGACCAGTAGTATCTCACTACCACTACTGGATAGATTTCCATGAATTATTTT